GGTGGGGAGGGGGGCCTGCAGGAGGCAGCGGATCAATGACTCTCTCATCATTTATGTTTCTCCCTCTCCCTTCCTCTCTCTGATATTAATAAAGATTTTTTTTTTTAATTATTGATCTAGGAAATCATCTTCGATGGTGCTAAAATTACAGAATGACTAGATATTATACGTCTATGAAGTGTTCTCCCCCACACTCCGCCAAAAAAAAATCATAAAAGGAGACAGAGGAACATAGTAAATAACCACCACAGGGATGCAATCAGCAAACTGAAGAACTATGGGAAATTCTACAAGGCAAACATATTACAAGAAAAATTGGAAAGGGGAAAGGGAAGGAGAAACTATAAATTAAAAGAGACTTTAAAAGACATTTCAATTGAATGCAATGCATGAACCCTGATTTGAAAAGTCAACTATAAAAAAAACTGTGAAGTGCCCAGAGTGATTTGGTATTATGGAAGTGATAAAGGAAGTGATAAAGATATGGTGCTTATATACTTTCAAAGAGTCCTTACTATATATATACATATTGAAATATTCATGGATGAAATTATAGTGCTTATGATTTGCTTCAAAGTAACCTAGTTGGGTGTGAGGTCATAAATGAAACAAGAATAGCTATAAATTGATAATTTTTAAAGCTGGATAATGGGTATATGGCATTCATTACATTATTCTATCTATATTTCTATATAACTGAAATTTTCCATATTAAAAAATTAGAGAAATAAAAAGCTAAAATTTGAGTTTGGATAACTGGGAGACTGGTTCACACATGCTTTGTTGTTATTATTTTTTTAAATATATCTTTACTGATTTCAGAGAGAGGACGGGAGAAAGAGAGAGATACAAACATCAATGATGAAAGAGTAGTCATTGATTGGCTGCCTCCTGCACGCCCCCAACTGGGGATCGAGCCCACAACCCGGGCATGTGCCCTGACTGGAAATCGAACCGCGATCTCCTGGATCCTAGGTCTATGCTCAACCATGGAGCCATGCCTGGCAGGGCCAGACATTCTTTATTCTTAATGAACCACAAAGGATACCAAGGATGCTCAGGCAGGTTTTTAGGCTCTGTGTTCCCACTAGATCTATCCCACTGCCAAATTCCCATGCTATAGAAAATCTTTACTGAGAAGGACAAAAGGAAACAAGAAATGGAAGCAAACACAAACCATCCCAGGAGTTTTTCCTATAATTTTCCTATAGAGGTTTAGTTTATAGAGTAGACAAGCAATCAAAGAGATCAGGGTGACAGGCAACAAAGACTAATGCTCTGCATTCAACACAGCGCTTAAACTTTTTAAAGGTCTTTAATATACATATTACTATATAATTTTATCTCAACAATAACTTGTAAAATGGACAGGATAACTTCACTTCCTAGAGGAAAACAGCACAAAGTCACAAAACTAGTTAGTAGCAGAAAACAAGTCTTCTCACCCCATTCTAGTGCTTTTTCCACTAAACTGTTCCCTTCCTAGTCAATTTAATTATTCAGTATGGGAGAAAAGGCTACTCAGACCTCTTTTTATTACCATTAAAGTCACAAATACCTGATAACATCTGGGTTGGTATAGACAGTTACTGACAATTTGTTGTCCATGCTATACAGCTTCCAAAAATTTACTTAGCAAGGTGGACAGCTCAAAATGGTTTGAGAAATTCAGGAATGAGAATTTTTTTTTCTATCAAAAGCCACTGATGCTCAAGGAGAAAAGAAAGACATCAAGTTAAGAAGTTATAAATATTTAGTGTGTGTGTATGTCTGTGTATAGATGTGCATGCTCTGGAAGGTAGGGTAGAGAAATAAATATACCAGCAAGGACCTTCTTTTCCGACTTAATAAATTAATACCCTATTATTTAAACATTTCCCAATTTTAATGAACACACAGACTGGAAATCCTCTATGTACAATGAAAGAATACCCAACATGTTGATCATGAATAATCAAATTTGGGATAATCCAGATCCTGCACTTTCTCTCATCTGTACATTCCTAGCTTACCGCCATTTACTATTCTATTGCAAACACTTATTTTGGCTCACCAAACATCAGAACAGGAATAAAACAGGCAGGCTGCTGAAAGATGTTACACCTAGGAAATCACCTTTAAATCCAAGTCCCACAGTGAACACTCAAGAATGTACTGGGATTACCTGCTCCAATTACTTGCTCCTGGTAAAAGCTGGTAGGCATGTATCCAAAGTTCCTGGATGAAGGGTGTTATCAGCATTTACAAGCCCCTGTAAGGACCCAAGAATCCTTACTTCCCTCTGGAAGTATGTTGCATTCTTTGCTGAATATCCAAGTCTTTTACTATTACAAAAACTTTACACTCTCAAACTGTCAGATGACTCTGTCAGTGTAGCAGCACTATCCTGATATGACAGCCATGCTACAAGCAACTATCCCAATATTAATTACTTCAAATCACTAGAGCCTTCTCTTAGAAAGCATTACCCACTTAGGTGCTGTCCCTAGAATATGTGAATTTCAAACTGAGACCACCTCAATGCTAGTAAAATATCTAGACTACAAGGGCCTACTTGAGAAGAAGGTAGTGACAGCTTAACATGCCATCATTATGAATGTTCCATGAGCCTACAAGTTCACTTTAGAACACATCGTCATCTTTCCAGTACTTTCTCTGTCAGACTATTTAGAAATGGAATTTGGAATAAAATCAACACTTGTGGGTCATCTATTGTGTTCCATGAAATGTGCTATCTAATTTATAAATCTCTCATTTAATCCTAACAGCCCTTCGAGATATTTTCGTTAATGTCTTTTCACAAATGAAGAAACTAAGACTCAGGGATGTTAAATGACTTAAGACCAAAGTCTTAGTTACATGGCACAACCAAAAGGTGAACCCAAATCAGTACAAGTTATCTTTATGACTTGCTTCTTTCCACTCTATATGCTTTTGAGGTGTTATACTAACTTGTAGTGATACTAGAAACAAGGGTCCTCCTACTTCAATTTATTTTTGTGAGAAAACTGATGGCTTTAATGCACAGCAGGGACTACCATGCCTGGAACCAAATTACTGTATTAAACCAATACCTATTTTCATATATCCTAATCTGTCAATCTATATCAAATCTCTCTTTACTAGTTAGACCTTGTGTAGTCAGAGGAACAGCAGAAAATGCTTTGTTCAACCTCTGTAACATCTTCAAGTATTTAGAATATATAAGATGCCTCCAAATTTCAAAACCTATGAATAATAATCTTTCTACAAATTTTCCCAGACAGATTTATGTTAGTCTATTTGGAAGTAATGAACCTTTGAATTTTATTATAAAATGAAGGATTCCAAAACATGTAGGCTTCAACTTGCTGAAGGCACTGTAACAATGGACTAAAGACTAAAGTACAAAACATTATCTGTAAATTATATATGTATTATATAGCCACAATATGAGAAAATGGGTAAATGGTAAAGGCTATCACTTTTAGAGTACTTACCATGTGCCAAGTACTTTATACATGTGTTTTTATTTTGTATCTTACAAAAGCTTGTATGATTATTAACTCCATTTTACAAGCAAATAAACTATAATAAGAAAAGTTCACATAACCTGCTCAAAGTAATATAGCTAGAAAATGAGAGAGCTAGAATTCAAAGCCAGGTCTGTCCAAATTCAAAACCTATGCTCCTTATTGCCACCATTTACTGTCTCCTTGTTCCTATCTGGCAAACATTGCCTTGTTCACAATTCTAAAACCAGTATATAGAAACACATACATACTTAATTAAAACCTATTATTAACTATATCCATTAATTTGTCATAGTTTCTAAAGTAAAATCATTATAAGTCCCTAAAAATTACCATTAGAAAAACTCAAGTAAATTTTCATAAAATCTTGAGGAGTCAAGAACATAATTCACACAACAAACTTTTTTGTTGCTTCAGAGTGATTGTTCATCACACACACACACACACACACACACTCACTCACTCATTGATATAAACATGGTAAGGCCAGGAAATCATTTTAAGCATTTTAGAAAATTCAAATACTGTAAACCACCAGCCTAAAGGCTGAACAAAAGAACTCATTTTTCAAAATCACATTACTATCCATACTTAATGACTATATTATGGATATTATTATATTCTGCTCTTTATCTAAAATTTTATTATCAGCTAAATAACAGAAAAGATGTAATCATAACTTGGGCAATTTTAAACTTCTAAATGGCTATTATCTCCCATGTTCCAATGTTTCAAATTTCTTTATAAAAGTGTGTCTAAAAAATAAGTAACATTCCCCAAACATCAATTCTTCATACTATTAGTTTGAACCTAAATACAGAGCTTTTTAATGTACAAGATGTAGTTTAAAACAACATATTCTTCCTGTTGTTTATCAAACACATTCATTAGATTAGTTAACAGAGTAATATAAGAATCATTTTCTAAGATATGTCAAAGAATAGATTAAGTCTTACCTCCATTGCTAAAGCTGCTGTCTGCTGGTCATAATGATTCAGAAGATTAGGCATGAAGGTAGTATTATAAGGCAAATCTTGGCACATTCTCAAGGTAATAGGTTCACAAGAAAACAAACTGTGCCCACCTATATGTCCCACAAACATAGTGAACGGCCAAAGATAGAAGACGATCCAACTCATAGCCATCCTTCTTGGATCTGAATGAGATTTGGATGATGAGGCCTGTTCAATATGTATTTATCTTTGTACACCTGCAGGTCTCAGCTTGAAGAAGTACTTCTTCTATATCTTACTATTAAGTTCTTCAAACAGTTAAATACTCTGCACCGTCAGAGGTTTGTTAGCTTGGTCTCACAAAAGGCATTTGTTTTTGGTTTCACAATACGGGAAAATGACATCATGTTGTCTCTTCTTTTCATTTTATTACACAGGGCACATTTGGCCAACATATCAAGTTGATCAACCACATTCCCAAACAACAGATTCCATCTTAGGAGAAGAGCTATTTCTTCCTTTGACTGAAAAATCTGAAAAGTATTTTTAAAAATGGAATAAATTAGTCATTTCCTCTCAAAATATTGTGGACCTGATACAAAATCTTTGATGAGCTCAATAATGTTGTAGGACAGAAAATCAATATACAAAATAGTTGAATTTTTATACTATAACAATAAACTATCAGAAAGAAAAATAAGCAACATTTGATGAGAGATATCATACTGCCCAAATAGATAAAATACATAGGTATTTCATAAAGATATAGTATAGTTTTTCTACCTTATCATTTACGCTATATACTAAAACAATCCTTAAACATCATTTAAAATACAAAATAATATTAAATGTCAACTATAATTGAAAAAATTTAAAAGCATTTAGAGGCAATTTTTCTTCTCTCAGTTGTTTATATAACATATGGTTTAATTTGTCTATATTGATAGCAATTTTCATTTACAAGCTGAAACTGACCCATTTTGAAAAAAATTTCATGCTGTTGTCCTAAATTTTATCTAAATAGCTGCCATACTTATAATCTAAGCTACTGAATTTAAAATTTATTACTTTTTAAAAAAATATATCTTTATTGATCTAGAGAGGAAGGGAGAGGGAGAGAGATAGAAAGAAATATCAATAAGAGGGTCATTGATCTGCTGCCTCCTGCAGGCCTGACTGGGGATTGAGCCCGCAACCCAGGCATGTGCCCTGACTGGGAACTGAACCTGCAATGGCCTGGATCATGGGTCGATGCTCAACTGCTGAGCAATGCCAGCCGGCTGTTACATGTGTTTTAATCATTAATAGTGCATGTTTACATTAATTGATTAGTAGGAGGTATCTGAAAGAGATGAAATATAAATAAAACAAAAATGGATTCAGCCCTGGCTGGGTAGCTCAGTTGTTTAAAGCATTGTCCCGTACACGAAAAGGTTGTGGGTTCAGTCCCTGGTCGGGGTGTGTATGGGAGGCAATCTATCGATGTTTCTCTCTCACATCGATGTTTTCCTCTCTCTCTCCCCTTCCCCCTCTCTTTAAGAATCAATAAAAACATATCCTCAGGTGAGAATTAAAAAAAAAAAAAAAAAGATATGGGTTCAAGCCTCTTAGTAGATGGAAACATATCACTTAACTTCTCTGAACTCAGAATTTTTTTCCTAAAAATACTGTCTCTCTAACAAGGATGATCTAGATGTGAATTAAGCAGTAAGGTATGTAAAAGTATTCTATAACTGATAAAGCAGCATCAAACATTAGGTAGGGTTTTTTTTTTCAACTGAATTACAGTTCATACAAAGGCTACCTTCTTCAACCTATACTGAACTGGCAAATAGAAGGCTCTGAAAGCAATATCAGGAAATTTTCCCAACATTGCATATCTTTTTAGATAGCACAAAAATTTAGTGCCACACACAGATGCAGAAATACTTGATCAAGAGATGTTTCATTACACAGCCAGGCTGCAGAGTACAGAAATTATCCCTAGAAAGTCAAAGCAGGAATAGGAATGATTCCCAGTTAGTTTCCACTAAGCTTTAGAATCTTTTGATTTGCCTCTACTTTTCTAGGGGCAAAAATATTTATCTAATTTGGGGATGGTAGGGTGTGGATGGATTGGAAAGCAGGTCTGGTAGGAAAAAAGCATATTCTAAGTTATAATACTTTCATTTGGTTTAGTGATGGATGTTAAATTTGGTTTTATTTCATTTTGTTTCACATGTATTAGATAGAAATGTTGGTTGTAGAGAGCCTCATTTGGAAAAACATGAGAAAATCAGGTTCAGAAATTCTCAGAGACCAAAGTTAATTAGGCAACTTAAACACTAGAGCTCATGACAGCTTAGACCTTGAGACCTAGAATTGGTCTGGCTTAAGCAGGGCAAGAAACTGTCCTTTGTGCGCTATCAATGATAGGAACCTCTGCATCCCAACCTTTAGTTACTAGGCAGAAAAAACTACTTGGAGAAAGTAAAGGAATGGCCAAATCTTCCGAATTTCTCCCTCTAGTAGATGGTTTTGAGTAGTGGAAGAAAAAAGGGAAGTCTGTGGCCTCTAGAATTAGTAACACTAAAGTTATGAGCACTCCCTGCCCCAAACGCCTAATTTCTCTATACTAAAATCTCTAAATCAGAAATCTTTGTAAAAGCTTCTTGGCCTGCCATATTTTTTTTTCCTCCTTCAAGTTGGCCCCAGAAATGTGACGTCTGGCTATAGAAAACTGATATTAAACAGTCGTTTATATTTAAGCTTAATGACCATGCAACACAGTAACAATTACGCATATCATTAAATATGTCTCAAATAACTACTGAAAGCTTTCCTTGGTTACAGTATTAAAACATCTATATAAGTTCAGTCTTTGTAGTTTGTTGCTTATATAGCATATTCATCTGCTTGCAACTAAAAAAAAATAAAGGGAACATTGCTCCCTATTAAATATGCATATAATGATACGAATTTCAAATATTTCACTGGATAAATCTATTTTTCCAAAAAGTAATGGGTTTCAAATTTATGGTTCAAAGAAGACTACCATATAAAACTTGTGGAAGAAACTAAGCAATAACTCATTGGGTCTTTAAAACTAGATGAAACATTTCCTTAACACTTTTTCCTACTCCATCTATTTTACCTGATTTCTTCTCAATTATTCCTTTTGTCTCATTTGGAAGTAAAACTTCCTACCATCTTATAAGCTTCCTTTATATCCTACGACATCCATATTACCATATACCAATACTTTTGTAAAAATCTATTATGTTAGGGTAGGCTAGGACAATAATCTTAATATATCAAGGCTGCGGTTTATAATTCTTAAAATAAAGAAGAAAAAAGTCTAATACAGTGAAACAAAAAAACAAACAGAAATATTAAAGAAAAGCCCAGATCAGAGGTTTTCTAATTTTAATGTGTAGCAGATTCATAGATTTTCCCCCCCTAAGTCTAAGAAATCTGAATCTCTGTAGAATGACATACATTCTAGCAATTATCTCAGGTACTGTTATAAGTGCTCCATAAGTCATGTTTTGAGAAATGCTGTCCTGAAATAGAATAATTTAAAAGAGCATAAGTATATTTGAATATAATTATATGCTTAGCAAAAATAATACATAAAATGAATATAAAAAAATAAAAGCAGCGAAAGAATAACACCTTGTAATAGAGAAATGGAAAAAGGACATGATTTATAAAAGAAATACAAATAGCTGCCCTAGATGGTTTTGCTCAGTGGTTAGAGCATCGGATCATGGACTGAAGAGTCCAGGGTTCGATTCTGTCCAAGGGTACGTACCTCAGTTGCAGGCTCAATCCCTGGCTCCAGTCGGTGCGTGAGCGGGAGGCAACCAATCAATGTGTCTCTCTCACATTGATGTTTCTATCTATCTCTCTTCTTTCTCGCTCTCTCCCCTTCGCCCCCTGACTCTCTCTGAAAAGCAATGGAAAAAATATCCTCGGGTAAGGATTAAAAAAAAATACAAATAACCAACATATGAAAAGATGTTCAGTTTGACTAATAATAAAAATGCATATATGAGATAATTAACTGATTTTCAATACTGACAAAAATTATATCACTTATCAGCTAAATCAAATGATATACACATTTTTTAAATAAAAAAAACCTTCTGGCTGGTCCAGCTCAGTGGTTGAGCTCTGATCTATGAACCAGAAGGTCAGGGTTCAATTCCCAGTCAGGGCACATGCTCAGCTTGCAGGCTCCATCCCTAGAGAGCGTGCAGGAGGCAGCCAATCAATGACTCTCTCATTATTGATATTTCTATGTCTCTCTACTTCTCCCTTCTTCTCTCTGAAATCAATAAAAATATAAAAAATAAAAAACTTCTGATATATATTTCAAATTACTCTTCAATAACATAATGAAATATTTGCTTCTAATCAGGATCATATGAGTGTAGGTAGCAAAAGTCATTTTTCCAAAGGTAGGGTCATCTATGGAAAAGCCGTAAGTTGAAGTTCTAAACATACAGGCTACAGAGAAGATTCTGAACCCCAAGAGACACTATCAAAATTCAGCAACTCATTAAGTAAAGGTTAACAGTTGTTCTTATTGATATTATATTTTTTACTAAAAGGAATCTGCAGAATTTCATCTAAATAAAGGGACCTACTGGGTTAACAAAACTGGAGTGAACAGCTTTAGGGGCCAGGGGCCAGCAAAAAGTGAGTGGCAACAATTTATTCATGCCATACCTGTGGGAAAACAAGCACATTCACTTCTCCATAGAGGAATATAAGATATTTAGAAAACTAATTTCAGATTAAGTTACTTGATTATCATTCCATCGGAAAACAAAAAACTACTAGATACATTTAAACCTACATTTTAATTTTTATGACTGTATAACACCAGGAATCTGATATTCCCCAATTACTAGTTTTCTTTTGATGATAAAAAGTAAAAGTTCTTAAAATGAGTATTTGTCCTGAAACGCAGTAATGAAGGGGAAGGGGATATAATCTTG